AGGAAATATTAGGAACAGGAATAGATATTAAGATTTTAACCAATCAGATACCAGTTACACCAGAATACACGGTTTCTGATAGGCTGAAATCTTAATATCTATTCCTGTTCCTAATATTTCCTCCATTGTGCGCAGAGCCTATGGGCGCAAGTGGGATCGAACACAGATCTACAGATCACGAGTCCATCGCACCGAGCAGCAAGCCACTCGACGACCCTATACTAAGGTCAGTGGTACTAGATTCTGGCTCGTATTCTGTTTCTTTCTATGCGCTCACGCAGTCTTGGCTGGCTATTCTCCTCTAGTTATACAACCTCTTTGGAAAAGATGGAAGTCAGTGGAAGTGAGTGGAAGCAGTTACTGTTTGTAAAGCGAGGCCCGCTTTTAAAAAAAAATGAAGGATCACATCATCGCTGTGAGATATTAACATGTTTATCAAAGAACAAACGTATGTTTACCTTCCCAAGACCGCAGGCGGACAGAAAGATTTTTTAAATGGCTGGTTGCGGGAATGCCAATCTGTTAAACGTATCTCACAATAAAATAATTAGCAGGACAATCTGCGAAAACCATTTTCAAGACAAGTACAAACTTGTATGTCGTGCCGTAAGAAATTAATCAATTATGGTCGATTGTTTTTTTCATATTCAACTGTGATTGGCCAATTTCTTATGACTTACGAATTACGACTCTATTGTGTAAAGCTGGTTCTACATTAGTCATATCGCAGCGTCGCAAGCGTTGCAATTCAATCAACGTCAATCTAGCTCGACTCTGATTGGAACACAACGGTTACGACACGCTAATGTAGAATCAGCTTAAAGCTGGTTATAATGTATAATAAGCAATAAACAGCAGTAAGAGAAAGAGAAGAGAATATAAGGAACATAAATCAATGAATAGTTTCATTTTTATTAAAACTAAATCCTGTTTATTAAAATTTCAAACTGCTATTATAAAGGCTACTTTTCCACCCCATCATGCATTTAGTAGCGCAAGCCGTGAGAACACATGAGGGCGCGTAACTAAAATTGCATAGCTCGTCCATTTTATTTTTCCAGAAAATTTTGCTAAATCCTTGATATTTCCAAGACTTGTGGCACCCTAAATTATCTCGTCAAGGTAATTGTATACAAATATATATAAAAGTCATATCCTAACACTCATATTCATAGTCTACATTAGGCGCATTCAGTGGATTCAATAGTTGAGTGAGCGCTTGCTGTTATTGATGTATTCTCTTAGCTCATCCAATCAGAATTTTAAATCTAGAAGAATATATCAATAGCAGCGAGCGCTCACTCAACTGTTGAATCTGCTGAATGTGTGCATTCAGTACTGCAACCGTTCACCGAGTGCTTGTATCTTATTGGCATATTCCGTTGGAACTAAAAATATAGACCCAACAGATACAAGAGCTCATTGAGCGGTCATGGTACTGAATGCACCCATTATAAACCAAAGACATAGAGAATGGACTGCGCAATCTGTATCTAAGTAGTATTCAAATTATGGTCGACAATAATGAGAGAGAGAGGGACCGTGGAAGACGGCCAATCTCCCTCTCATTCTCTCTTCCATTACACAGTTAAATGAAAAAAGATAGAAATGGCAGTCTTTCACAGTCCCCCCCCCATCTCTCTCTCTCTCTCTCTCTCTCACTTTTATCGATCATTTTGACACATGGATCGCGCAGTCCATTCTCTGTCTTTGTTATAAATAAATTAAATTAATACAATTTAATCAATTAATTAAATTAATACAAGTATAACATTATACATCTATTAAATTATATGTAAGTTACGGATTCTACGTTACATACAAATAAATTCGAGCTCAAGTATGAATACCAGGTGAAGACACCACTAAATTTTCAGCAGCTATTTTTAATTTTTTTTTTTACTTTTGTTCTTCAAATGCTTTATTAGTCCTTCCATCGTTGTAATGCGAGCTACTAATCTTCTTTGACTTTGTTGTAAAATTTTAATTTTCTTTCTCAGATTTTGAATGGTTCTCTTTGCAACATCTAAAGCCATTTTAGCTTTTTTTGGTGTCAAAAGTTGTGACGTTTCAATGTCTCCGACATAGCGTAATGCATGTACAACTTTTCTCGGTGTTTGAAAGCATTCAATATGGCCAGAATTTGATGGTGTTGATGGCCAACTTACCGCTGAACTAGTTTCTATAGGAGAATCAATCATCAAGTAACTTATTAGGTCGATCCATTATAATGAAGTAAATTAAGACAATAAACTGTACCTTTCAATGATACGTTGTTGGAATCCGAATTATGTATGAGAATCCTATTATCCTTTGTTTCTTCAGGACTCGACACGACTTCATGTTCCATTTTTATAATACACGACTCAAAAAGTGAACCATTTTCTTTCAAAAAATTGTTTGTTACATGATACATTATTTATCTATTTATTAATTGTGGTAATTATTTAGAATAGGAGAAGGGCTTCCCCTCCTAAAATCTTAATGAAAATATACTCATTCGACAAGTTTTCACTCAAAACAAAAGAATCTGGCAGAAAAACGCGGCGGTCCTTCTTTTAGGAGGAGGGGTATTCTAAATAATTACCTTAATTATTCATTATTAATAAGTTACTGTAATTAAAGAAAATCAGTACTATTTACCTTCCAATGTTATATTATTGGAGCTTTGATTATCAGTAGAAGTGATATCATCTGCAGTTTCATCGGCCAAGCGTGTGTCATTCATATCTACTTGCAATCTCCTCTTTTTGATACATGGCACAGCATTGAGTTTCACAACCGAACCTTTGGCCTTAAAGATGATATCATTTTTTTCAAAATGATTTGAGCACAATTTTGTGGCTGTATTCAGAATATTTTCACCAATTCCACAAAACAACAGCCATTGTTTACAAAGTTCCTTATTTTTCGGAAACCTTTTCAAAAGAGATGAAATAAATATTAAGTATGTATTAAATATCAATAGCTTATGTAAATATAACCTACATGTTATCATATAATTGATGCCTATATAAAATATTTCATACATTAACTTACGTGTAATAAGAAACTGAATTATTACGATTACCACATAGTACGCAATATTTGTTCGGCATTTTTTACGCTAAATTCTTTATTTTGGCACAAATATATAATGGTTTCTTCTTGTTTAGAGTCCCTATAAAAGAGTCACGACATGAGGGGATCGACCTCGTGATTAGTCAGATTTCGAGTCCCTTTAAAGGCCGCCATTTGTGGATACTTTCGATGGGTAATGAATCCGTGAATTGGTGTGAGCATTGTTCCATGAGGCCTGTTCTTTTTGGCTGAACTTTTGCATCAGTTCATCTTTCTTCTTCTTTCCTCCTAAAGAGAAAAGGAAGAAAGATGAACTGATGCAAAAGTTCAGCTAAAAAGAACAGACCCATGGTATAGTAATACAAAAAGGCGCGAATGCGAAATCGGACTATTAACTGTCAACCATGGTGAAATTATAAACAGTACTTGTTGTTACGCAGAGTACGGACATGTATCAGGTAAAACGATATATGCGCATTGCATTTTGTCCAAATTCTAAATTTCTTTTACCAATTTACTTGTAACGTGTTTTTGGATAAAATATAGAAATTAGAATTTTTATTGAGACTTGTAAATGTTTCATATACCTTTAAATGTCAAAATTTAATACAATTTATTTTTTATCAAATAATTATACATTTTTCATCAAAAAATTTAAAAAAAATTAATTCCAACAAAAATTTATTATGATCATGTAGATCGAATAACTAGAAATTTTTTCACTTTTGTTCCATCGAACTGAATGCGCATGCAACTTTTTCGCTTTAAGTGTTCATTTTCATCATTTTTTATCATAACTCTTGTATGAATTGTTAAAACTTAATGAAATATGGTGTGAAAGTTTTCATACCCATAACATGTGACAAAAGCTTCCATCGATTTCTCTTGATTTTACAGATTTTAGTTTTTCACGGGAGTCCCCCTTTCATTACATTTAATATCTAAGAATGTAATAATTTTTAGAGTAAACTATGTACATATGTCGTCGAATGTAAAGATTTATGTTTTTTCTTGTTCTGCTATAAATCATTAAAGGTTGTCGAAGCCGGCTTATAATCTGTAAAAGGTTAGAATTTGTGCATTCGTATCGGTACATTGTGCGGATATTCTTAACAACTTCTTTGTCGATTTACAGCCAATTTTTCTGGTAATTTAAAAAATATATACAAGAACACAAAACTTAAAAATAATCTAATAATTATAACATTTAAAGAACAGTAAAATTTGTACTAATATATTGAATACATTTTAATCAATAAAAGCCGTTAAAAATTAATAATTTCTAATTCCCCGTTCCGCTTTTCCGCTCAAATTGTGCTCCATGCAATATTATGGCGCGGTCCCATGGTGCGAAACGTATATATACGCAATGCGGAATTGGCGGAACGATGTCCGTCCAATCGCAAGCATTCCGTCAATTGCGCTCCGCCGATATGTCTTTTCTAAACCAACTACGAGCGTTCCGCCAATTCCGCTTCATGGGACCGCACCATAAGGTTTGTTCACATCGCAAGCTCCAACATGTTCCAATATGCTCCAACCTAGGGATGAGCATTGCCAAAAAAAAGCATCATGCCTGAAAAAATCGATTTTTAAATGTATCGTTTTGGTAGATCGAATGTTTTCTTCAAAGCATCGAAAATAATCGATTATTTACATCCTTTTATAAAATTAATACCTAATAATTAAAGTCTAGTAATAATACGCCATTTTAATGAAAATTTCCTGAGTGGTTTGTCTAGTAGAAAAATTCTAGACACCGGTTGCAGTGAATGACTGTGATCAATAGCAATTACAAGGTCAAAATGCACGCTCCCAGATGCAATTGTTCAGTAAGGTTGCTTTTACATGTAGCGTAACTTGCGTAAGCGTAACTTGCGTCAGCCAATCAAATCGTCCCAATTTGAATAACGCTTAGTAGCTGATATAATTTGAGTGCATTCAGTACTACAACTGCTCACTGAGCGCTCAGTGAGCTCTTGCATCTGATTGGCTGCGTTCAGCAGAACGGTTGTTTTGCAACTGTTGGAAGTTTCCTTCGCGCTAATTGGATCATACTTTTAGATCTAGAAGAATGGTCCTATCTCAGCAGACAATCATAAAACGGTTGCAAAACTGTTGAGTCTGCTGAACGCAGCCATTGGCATATCCCGTTAGAACTAAAAATATAGACCAAACAGATACAAGCGCTCACTGAGCGCTCAGTGAGCGGTTGTGGTACTGAATGCACCTTTTGATACGATTTAATTGGTTGACGCAAATTACGTTTACACAAGTTACGCTGCATATGAAAGCAGTCTAAGCAGCCTTACGCATGTGGATGTACTCAATACAGGCATAATGGCTTCGATATACACCAGCACGATGCACGACGTGACGCGCGATATCCAATGAGTGTACTGTTTTTCCGAATTAGAAACGTATTAAACTGTAAAATCCTAAATACATTTTATCATGCTGTTTGATAAAATATACATTGGACATTTTATCTGTTGAAATATCCTACTTTTGCATTCAGATTAGTCCGGATCTACAATAGATGTTTTAAGACTTAAACCATAAGAAGTAAGAAACTGATCAATTACAGTCGAATCCGAGGGGAATAATCGATTGTGATTCGTCCATTTCTTATGACTTAAGGCTTAAGGGCCATGGCACACAAAAAAACTTAAGCAATAAAACGTAAGCAGCAAGCGAATTGACCAATCACAGTAGAGTCCGTAAAGCCATAACATAAACAGTAGCGAATCCAACATGTTGATTTCCTTATTGCTTATGTCTTATTGCCTTAAGTTTTTGTGTGCCAGGGTCCTTAAACCCTATTGTAGATCCGGGGTTAAGCCCATGGCACATACAAAAACGTAAGGCCGTAATACGTAAGCAGTAAAGAAATCGTAAGATTGGATTCGCTACTGGCCTTACGGTCTCTATCGTGATTGGCCAATTCGCTTACTGATTATGTCTTACGGCCTTACGTTTTTGTATGTGCCATGGGCTTTAGAGTAACTGTTCGCTGAGCGATTGAATGTGATTGGTTGGATCTATAAGTAACAACCAATAAAGTTTATTTGCTTGGCAAGCAGTCTAGCCAATTTTGTCGACGTGAACGCGCCCAATCAAATCGAAGAAGCAATAAAAAGTAATTTCGTAAAATTTTATGAATTGTTGTGTGAGACGTAATATACTTTTATTAATTTATACTAAGATTAAATTTATTTAAAGTAACAATCATGTAAAATTATGTGCAGTTTTAAAATGCGTTACTGTACATTGAAAATATTTACTTTTAACTTCCCGATAAAAAAAACTGTTCATACATTAATATATATATATATATATATAAATATGTTTAACATACATAAATATTCATAAACGTATGTAATTATATATGAAATATGTCTATACATGTTCATAATACATCCTTACTTTCTTTTGTAAAATTATTTTTTAGTATCTAAAAATAATAACAATAAGAAAACATAAAAAATAGTTAGAGATAATTTTCGCATTGCTATTTTTAGGAAAAAGAAATATAAAAGAATTGCTCATATATAATTGCATATAAAATTATAGTTAAGCATTTTTTTACATTTCTCCAAACTTGATTTTTTTCTAAAACAAATAATGCGAAAATTATTCCTTTAACTATTTTTCATGTTTTTCTCATTATTATTATTTTTAGTACACTAAAAATTTTACAAAAAAGAAGGATGTAATATGAACACGCATGGATATATTTCATATATGATATGTTTATGAATATTTATGCATGTTTATACATGTTTATATACCGGATGTTTCAGACCACCCATACCACCCTTTTATCTTCGCAAGATAAGATCCAATCGTAAAAGTTGGGTTTGAAAAGATCTATTTACTGATCTTATCAGTTTGATCTTATGTGATGTCGCCAAAATCAGGTCAAGGTCACGTCGATTATTTTAAATGGAATACCCTATTTTTTATTCCAGAATCTAATAGCCGATGTCGAGAGTTTTCCAAAAAATACTATAATAAAGTTATTTTTAGTACTCAATGAAAAATAAAGTTATTTTTTTCATCGAATGACGATATAATCATTAAAAGTAATGATATTACCTTTAATGATATATAAAAGATTACTGTTTCGTATTTGACATTATTCATACACATACGCACACACATGTACAAAGATTATTGTTCGTTTATATCGTAATGCATAAAATGGTCATAGGAGGTACAATTTAAGATGTACCATAGTAATTTAATTTTAGTAATAGATTCTTTCGTAATCTTCCCAGAATTTGATTTTTCTCTCGTAAAAACTTCTTTTCATACAAATTAAAAACTATTACTTAGGCTTTTTCTGCCAAAATCGATTACAAATTCATCAGAACATTTATCAAGGTAAAGTATAAGAAACGTTTTTTTTATATTTCCCATCTATGATTTGCAGTATATCGTAAAGAGCAATCGAAAGAATAGAAATAATTTAGACAATTATTTAATAAATGTGTATCTATTTACGTAAAGAATCTTTTCTTGGACTCTTACCTACGTCTTCAAAGTCACATTACATTATTTTACAATAATTATATATATATGTATATATTTATATATGTATATGTCACTCTCTGTCTCCTTATGAGGTTTTACGTAGCGAAGGTGAACGGAGCATAACATAAAGCACGCACAAGTCGTATATAAATCGTGATAAACGTTCGACGAGAAAGATCACCAAAAAGTAATCGCAGAAAAAAACAGTGAATAGCAGTTTTCGTGCGTTCTCTCCTCGATTATCTTCACGAAAATATGTATGAGCGAGCGGTCACTCATTTTTGTTAGCTATTATATTTTATCTGTTAGCTATTACACTATTTGACAAAAAAAAATACCAGAACGAGACTAGTCATTTATCGTAATGTTTTGAACGCTGAATACGAATTCGGCTTCCAAATGAATCTATCACATCACAATTTTAAAAAATTGAAAATTTAAAGCTGCAAAAATGAACTATTTTTACATATTTTGTCATATCACAACTATGATATGTAACGTGCTGGAGAAGATTTATTGCAATCGAAATTAAGCATGTGGTTAGGATTCTCAAAGCTCAAAAGGATTTTTGGGTCGTTATTCATAATCAATTCTTATATTCAAGATCGTTTTAAGTACAGTTTTAAGATGTCATAAACCAGAGAATCGTATTTGCACATCTTGAGATATTACATAAGGTGGTCTTAAAATAAGAACTGACTGAGAGATATTCGTAGCCGATTCTT